AGTCGCTAATGAGTTTTAGGAAAACTCATAAACCTCGCTCATGCCTTTTATTCCATGTGGAGTTCATGGAATAATTAGCACGAATCGTAAGTTTATCCGTGCCCAAATTGGTCTACATAAACCAGAAATGAGTTTTGGAGCGAGGGTACTAAAATAACGTTCTCTTTAGGGGCAAATCGCTATTCTAGCCCTAGTACGGCCTCTACTAGCTCTTCCTTTTTTACAATTTCATCACCAAACAATATATGCAACACGATACCTAAAACTAAGTTAGTTGATTTTATTTACACACATTAATTCACGTAGGAATTACATTGCAAAGTCGTTATTCTTTATTTAATCAAATTCGTGAATATGACAAGAAATAAACAATATTCGCCTTGGCTTAGGTGATCAACCAACAATTAATATTACTCAATTCTAATCTTATTCAACACGAGATACTATGTGGAATTGATTAATTAAACCTTTTAAACTGATCAATTAACATTAATTAATTTATTAAAGTTCTTTTAAACAAGAAAATAAGAGTGATTTATCTAAGTGCTCGTGAATTTACCACATCTCTTTGCTAGATCTCCATTTAGAACACTTATGGACTCCTTCTTGTTCAAGAAACTCCACCGTAGTAGCAAAATACCAAAGGGGTGAGTGTTTAGGACAAGAGGGGTTAGGTAGCACAAGTTCACAAGTTTTTCGCCAGAGTTTAGGGTTAATTTCTGTCTGTTTAAGCCTCGGATTAAGCCTATATTTATAGGGAATGGGTAGGTTTAGGGTTTTGAACATTCTGTCGCAGCAGGTGTCGCGCGCAACTGGATGAGTTGTGCGCGGCCACCCAGCGCAAGTGATTGAGCTGCGCTGCCTACTGCTTTATGGCAAGATTCAATTTTCTAATTTTTTGAAATTCTGAATCTTTCACGAGCACAACTCGGGCAGTTTGCGGGCACCAGCCCAGCGCAACTCCTTGAGATGCGCGCGTTGTTTTCTACGGCAACGCTTATTTTAACCTAGGCGCTCCTAAATCCGTCATTATTGGGTTTTAAGTACGGGCTTAAGCCTAATTATGATCGAATTTAGTTAATTAGGCTTTGTTTGGCTTTGTTTCTTGGTTTGGGCTAGTCTTTTGTGTTTTGTGGTTTAACCAGTTATCCATAAGCATTCTTCACTTTGATCCACCACGAAGATGGTTTTATTTATCGTCATTGCACTTCCTGTCGGGACATGAGGCTTAAAGTAGGTGTCTACACTCTACGAGTCTCCAAAATCTGGAGAGCGTGATATCTCCCTCAAAAGAACCATGACGACTAGAAATTCGCAATCCGACTAGGAAGTCCACGTAGGCCAAGCTGGCCCAATCATACGACCTGACCATGTGAAGGTCGCGAAGAGCAGGCAGGTAGTAAAGTAGGACTCAACTACCTTTGTCAGGCAAAAAGGTCCCCGACAGCAAGATAAGAGCAAAGATGCGCACCCGCTGCTCTAGGGTGGTCGCACCATCATGAAAAGACACCACAAGCGTGGACCGGCGAATATATCGAGAGTTGAGATACGTCAGCTCAGCCTCACTATGAGCCAGAACAGTAATAGGGCCCAACAGCTCCAGTACCACAAGAGAAAAGACTGTGATCTCGCTATCAAATGGAAGCGCAACCGAACAAAACTCTAATCCTGTGATGAGACTGACGTCAGTAGGGGTAACAGTCATCTCACCCCATGGGAAATGGAGAGTGTTGGTGGTGTCTTGGAAGAACTCAACCAAAGATAGAACCACGTAACGACTCGACTCGAAAGATATAGAGGAGTCAAGCCACAAGACTCCCATGGACGACGCAAACAATCATGGTCTCGAAAAAATAAGTATCGTACAAGGAACCGATAGCGTCGTTGCCGGAACCATGGATATGAACTCTCCGTCTATAAAAACCCGCGCCAAACGCGCTTCGAGATGTGAAACTCGGGCGCAAAGTACAGAGTGCGCTCATCCCAGTCTGTAAACTCCCCTAGAGAAGAAAAGGTCCCTACGCCGGCATCAACAGGATCGTCCTCCCGATGAGCCTCCCTAGAACGAGAACCAGAACCGCGTCGTCCAGCCATTCTATATTAGGAAAAGTAACAGTAAATTAAAGGTTCTATAGTATCTAAGATTTGCCTAACCGCATGATACTATGTTCGCCAAAAATAGAGTACGTAGTACTAAAACAGAGCATAATCTCAATACAAAAGTGACTCTCTCTAAAGTGACTTTCTCTCTAAAAATTTCTTCCTCTGCCATGGCGAAGAAGAAAGCTATAAAGGAACTGATTAGAGGGGAGGGAAGCTTGTTGAAATCTCAAATTGATGATAGGATGAAGGAGATTCAGGTTTCATCAGGGAAATCGAAAGGAAATTCTCAAGCGGTGAGGGTTCCACCCCCAGATTTTGGTATTCTGGACAATTTGGACGATTTGATTCTTACTCCGGAACAATAGATTCAAGAACTGATTTATTGTTCTAGAACAAAATCAAAGTTATTATAATGGTTGAATGTGTTGAAGTCCAAGGAGGGTGCTGCTTAGATGAACCCAGAAACAGAGGAAGCTGAAAACAGGGGATCGCAAAATGAAGTATGTGCTCAGATTCCAATTAGGGATTTGAATAAGCCTCTTTTGCAATTATCTATTGATGATGTGTCTGATGAAATTGCATATTGGAATTTGGGTGTTGTAGCTTTTGTTATTGGGGCTACTCCATTTCTAGGCACCTTTTCTGGGTATTGTAAGAGGATTTGGGGGGAGAAAAATATTGATAAAATCATTGCATTGAGGAAAGGGGTTTTTCTAATTAGATTCTTGAATTTTGAAACTAAAGAAAAAGCTCTGCATGCTTCTCATGTTTTGTTTGATAATCGACCTGTTTTCTTAAAACAATGGGAGGATGGTATGGAACTGAGTGCTGCTCAATTTACTAAGATACATGTATGGGTTCAATTGCCTAAGTTTCCATTGAAGTACTGGGGTAAATCTTGTCTTGAGAAAATTGTGTTTCTGATTGGTAATCCGATAAAACCAGATTCTGCTACACAATTGAAGAAAAAGGTGTTCTTTGCTAGGTACTTAGTTGAAGTTGAAATTGATGGGGATTTAAATAAGATGATAGAATTCATTTCTGAGACTGGTGGGTTGGTGAGACAGAAAGTGGTTTTTTAATGGAAGCCAGTTAAATGTAAGTTGTGTAAGCAGGTGGATCATTTGGCTGATGTGTGCAGGAATGTGAAGAAAGAATGGAGACCAAAGGTGGTTCAAAGTAAGGTCCATAATGCTCAGCCTATTTAGAAATGAGCAGAATAATTTGGGTCCTGAAGGGGAGTGGGAAGTTGTTGTGAGCAGGAAAAAGAAAAAGGGTGAGAGTAGAAATGAAGGAGTTGCAAAAGAGGTAGTTTCAAAAGTATGTACTACTAATGCTTTTGAGAGACTGCAGAATGCAGATGGGTTGGAGTTTGGTGAAAGGATAGATATAGATGCCCTGAGAGTGGGGCAAGACATTCTATCCAATGGATAGTGTTCTCTGTTGGAATGTAAGGGGTCTCAATGGCCTCTCAAAATAGAAGGAAATTAATAATTTCCTTTTTGATCATAAAGTAGGTTTGGTATGTTTAGTGGAGACTAAGATCAAGAGTGTTAATTTTCCTATAGTGCAGAATACCATGTTCCAGGGATGGTGTATGACTACTAATTTTGCTCAGGTGGAAGGGGAAAGGATTCTGGTTGCTTGGCTTTCTGACATTTTTCAGGTTCAAGTACTAGAAATTAAATCTCATGCCACTCATCTATAGGTGAAGAATGTTAGTCAGAACAAAAGCTTCTTTTGTACTTTTGTTTATGGTTTTTATGACAGTGATGGCAGAGAAGAAATGTTGGAAGGTTTGACAAGGGTGGGGAGTGGCATTGATGTTTCTTGGATAATAGCTGGTGACTTCAGCTGCCTTTAAACCTGGATGACAGAATGGGTAGACAGATCAGCTTTAATGAGATTAAGCCTTTAAGAAAGTTCACTCAAGAGTGTAGTGTGAGTGATCTGGTGCAGACTGGATGTAGATATATATATATACCTGGAATAATAAGCAGCATGGTACTAGTAGAGTGTATTCCAAGATTGATAGAGTTTTAGTGAATAAAGAATGGGCCCTAAACTTTCCCAATTCTTTTGTTCATTACTTACTTGAGAACTAGTTTGATCACAGTCTAGCTGTGATTCACTTGGATGGGAGCAAGTAGCAATGTAAAGGTTCTTTTAAGTTCCTTAATATGTGGATTAGTCACCTTCTTTTTGAGCAGGTGATAAATAAGGCTTGGAGCACTAGTATGTATGGTGTGATGATATATAAAGTGGTGAAGAAGCTGAAGTTGCTTAAATCTGAGCTAAAAGATTTACACAGAGCTAATTTTACAGATATTGAAGCTCAGTTTTTGACATTGAAGAAGAAGCTGAATGAGGTTCAAATTAAGGTTCACCAGGATTAAAATGATGATGGCTTGAGAGAGATTGAGTCAAGAACTTTAAAAGAGTTCCTACAGGTTAAAGAGAGCTATTTTTCTTTTCTTAGTCAGCAAGCAAAGATTAAATGGTTACAAATTGGGGATGAGAATTCAGCTTACTTTCATAGATCTCTGAAGTTGAGGAAGTTTAATAAATCTGTGATTACAATTCAAGATTGTGAAGGGGTCTGGTGTGACACTCCAGATAAAATCTCTGATGCTTTTGTGAATTATTATAAAAGCTTGCTTGGTGCTGATTTGGGAGAGGGAGTGTTTGTTCAGCAAGAGATTATAAGGCAAGGAGCTATTTTAAGTGATGAGCAGGCTCAGAAGCTTTGTGCTCCTTTTTCAAGGGAGGATGTGAAGAAAGCCATGTTCTCTATTCTAGTTGATAAAGCACCATGACCTTATGGTTACAACAGTGCCTTTTTCAAGAATGCTTGGGGAATAATTGGTGAAGATGTCACTGATGCAGTTCTGTAATTCATGGAAAATGGGAAACTTTTGAGAGAGATTAATAGCACCACCTTGACTCTGGTTCCAAAGGTGGCCCACCCTACTTTGGTGATAGAGTTTAGGCCTATAGCTGTTGCAATGTCATTTATAAGTGTATAACTAAAATGCTTTGCTCAAGACTAAAATTAGTGCTCCCTGATTTGATTTCTCAATCTTAGGCTGGATTTATGGAAGGGAGACAGATTTTGCAGAATATTAGTATTGTGCAGGATTTGGTCTCAAAGTATGGAAGAAAGGATGCTCCTAAAGGTTGCTTGTTAAAAGTGGACATTAGAAAGGCTTATGATTCTGTAAAGTGGGACTTTCTTTTAGAGATGCTGTCAGCTTTGAACTTTCCTGCCGGGTTTATCCAGTTGATCATGGCTTGTGTTACTTCCCTTCTTACACGTTGTGCATTAATGGGTCTTTAACTGGTTTTTTTCAAGGGAATAAAGGCTTGAGGCAAGGAGATCTTATGTCTCCTCTCCTCCTTGTACTCTGTATGGAATATCTCTCAAGGATCTTGGGTCAGATTGGGTAGCTTCCTAAGTTTCAATTTCATCACAAATGTAAAGCCTTGAAGCTTAATCACCTTGTTTTTGCAGATGATCTTATTATCTTTAGTAAAGGGGATAAGAATTCTGTAAATTTCATTTTGAGAAGTCTTGCAACTTTTGCTTCTTCTTCTGGTTTGGTGGCTAATGAGGGCAAGTCTAACATTTACTTTTGTAATGTTAGTGAGGAGGATAGAGAAGATATTATCATAACTTCTGGTTTTATGGAAGGGAAGCTACCTTTCAGATACTTAGGGGTTAATGTGAGCTCCAGAAAGTTGTCAAAAGGTGACTGTCAATGCCTAATTGATAAGATCACAGGAAGGATCAGAAATTGAGGCTGCAGGAAGTTGTCTTATGCTAATAGAGTTATGCTGGTTAACTCTGTTATGATGTCTTTACATGTATATTGGGCCTCGATTTATATCTTGCCAAAAAACTGTTATTGATGGGGTTGTTGCTGTTTGTAGAAATTATTTGTGGGAAGGAAAAACAACTTACTCAAAAGCTCCCCCCTATTGCTTGGGATTATAACTGCAAAAGCAGAAAGTAGGGTGGCTTAGGAATTCATAATGTGAAGGCTTGGAATATAGTTGCTATTGGAAATCTAGTGTGGAATATTGCTCAGAAAAAGGATAGTTTGTGGTTAAAATGGGTGAACACCTTGTATTTGAAGAATAGAAGTTGGAAAAGATATAAATGACCAGTTAACTATAGCAGGAACTGGAAACAAATATGGTGGGTGAAGGATAAACTTAAAGAAGGTTATAGAGGGAATTAATGGAGACATAATCCTACAGGTTATACAGTAAGAAGTGGGTATAATTGGCTAACTCAGAACTCTCATATGGTTCCTTGGAAGGATTGGGTTTGGAACAGGTCCAACATTGCAAAACACAGATTTATATGTTGGTTAGTAATGTGGAGAAGGCTTAGAGTTAAGTCTCAACTTGCTAGATTGGGGATTGTCAGTGATGATCTATGCCCTTTGTCTAATCTGGAGCCTGAGACTATTGATCATCTGTATTTTAGATGCCAATACAGCAGGAAATGCTATGAGAAGATCCAGATGCTAACTCAAATTCACTTAGATCCTGCAAATATTGAAGATTGCAATGATAAGCTGCTGCAGATCAAGGTAAGATTCAGAATAAGAGTGATGCAATGTTTCTATGCTGGTCTGATTTCTTGCATCTGGCAGCAAAGAAATAGAGTAGTCTGGGAGAAGTGTGTGTATAGACCTGAAATTTTAATTAGGAATTTGTGTTTTGAGATTTTTCAAAGAATCAGGTTTGTAATGCCTATTAAAACCAGTAGAAGTAACTTCAATTGGTTTAATAGGTTATGTTGTAATTAATCCCTAGGATTTGGGGTTTTGCTGTTGAGGGCTTGTGCCCTGGTTTTGTCTGTGTTCTGTACAGCCTGAGCATGGTTTTTATGCTCTAAAAGATATAAAAAAAAAATTACTTTTTCAAAACAAAAATCTCAATACATGCAGAAATAGCATTTTTCAGCAATTAAACAATTTCTAGCGATAATATGACAAATATTATGACTAATTGGACAAGAATGGCTAGCAAAAATACGAAGAACAAGCCGCATTGTTCTCACGAACTCCTCAATTCGCTCATTTCTTAACCAAATTGAGTCAAACAAGTCTCAAATACTCTAAAGGCAATCTACATGCATAATCAAGAAATTTCTTGGCATAAGATTCAACGAACGAAGCAAATTAAGCATAATTGGGTTCGAAATTTTCGAAAAACTGCAAACAAACATGCGCAAATTCAGCAAAAACCAAAGAAAGTTTGAATAAAATTACATAGATCGGGAAACTAGATGGAATAAGCTTTGATTTGCAACAAATTTGTGCGAAATTGGTTGAGAAACGGAGGAGAATGAGCAAGTTGAACTTCCGAGCGAAATCGCGAGCAAATAGCAACAGCAACGGTATGAGGAAAAAAGAGGTTTTATTCAAAAAAACCCGACATTTGCGCCAGAAGACAAGCTTGTAGCCAAGCGCTAACACTTGTCGCCTAGCGACAGAGCAAAATCCTGGCGACAGCATGTATCAACGTGCGCTGGTGCGGCGACGGGATGCATGGCTCCCATAAATGATTATGCGGATCTTATACAGCAATTTCGGGTTCCTTGGTACGCCTGTTATCCCCTATAAAAAATTTGACATGATTAAGTAGTCAGCTAGATTATAATCGCAGTAAGTGATCGACCTGACAAATGATCGTCTTACTTAGCTTAAAGCGCCTAAGTATTAGCTCATCGCAAGCACCGAAGTAATGGTTCACAAAGAAGCACAAGCGCCAAGGTAGCGGCTCATTCACAAAATGCGCCGACGTACAGGCACAGCAGCAAAATTAGCATCTATAAAGAAAAGCACTGAGGATCAACAAGCTATGGTCTTCGATAATTTTCCTTGGAAGATTATCACTATGAAATTGAAGATAGCTACAGGCAGCGGTCTTCGACAATGTCCCAAAGCAGAGAGGAGATTGTCTATAGCGGCAAGGCATAGCCGTGGTGTAGGGAATATTTCAAGCATTATCCCTACCTTGAACCCCACTGTGATCATACACTAAAGTACGGTGGCGTCCAAAGGGAAAGAAGATAGAGCAAAAGAGTCGCCAACAAGTTTTAGGAACTTGTAAACCGTTCACAAGGTGAAGGTTACACCCCTTAACGATCCAGGAGAACGTCAACTCCAATAGGTTTGGAACAGGGGTGGGACTTTTCAAACCGAACCGTGAAACCGCCCGTTACCGAACCGAACCATCACGGACCGATCTGTTTATAAACCGATAAATGTAAACCGAAAACCGAACTGAACCGTTCAATATCAAACCGAAACCGAATTGAACCGCTCAATGTCAACCCGTTACGGACCGTAAACCGATAACAAACCAAACTGCGCAAATCCGAACCGAAACGAAACCGAACCGAATGGTTTATAAACCCGTTAATGACCCGAACCGTTTATAAACCGAAACCGTTTAAACCGAAAAAAAAAACCGTTTAAAACGAACCATTTGTAACCCGCTAACCGTTTAAACCGACCCGTTTATGAACCAAAACCGTTTAAACCGCACGTATAAACCGAACCGTTATAATCCGCTAACCGTCTAAACTAAACTGCCATAACCCGTTAAACCGTTAAAATCGAACTGTTTTCGAATCGCAACCTGTTTAAACTTATCCGATTACAAACTGCTTAATTCAAATTGAATTATTTACAACCTAAATGGCTAAGTAGTAAATACAATAAAATAATTAATGTTAATAAGATCTAATCAAACGGCTTAGGTTTATACAAAGGTTTATATCACCTAGATCTAGGCCAACGGCATTATTAATATCATTTTAGATTACTTATTTATTTTAATTACAAGATATATCATTTGTATCTTTTCATTCCAGTAATAAAGTCCACCCAAATTATCTTCATTGTTCCTTGATATTCATGATCATCCAATAAGATAACATAAGATTGGAGATAAATAACATTAAAATTAGAGTAATATCAACAAGCAATTAAAAAAAGTCACCATTTTCATTGATTAAAATTCACAATACATATACCAATACGGCAATACATAATGAAACTACTATCACTACTACCAAGATTAGATTTCAGATTTATCAACTGAAAAAATGATACATGATAAGATGAAGGGAGGAGTGAGAATGTGAGTGATTTGGGAGCAGAATCTTGAAACAGAATCTTGAAGCAGCAGCACAGCAACCAAGAGCAGAGGAAATAGCAGCAACAAGCAGGAACCCGCACAGATTTGGGAGGAACTTATTTTTGTTTTTCAAAATTGCTCTCAGATTTACGTTTATCGTATCATCACTGAGCAATGGCTGTTTTAACTTAAAACTTGAAAAATGCTGCCAGCAAGTACATATACATTGAAGTCTCAACATAAATGACAAGGGCAACGATGATTCAAGAAAAATTAAAACAGCAAGCATAAGAAACGGCAGCAACAAAACTTATCATAAATTCATAACACAAAAGGCAGCAACACAGCACCTCAAGCTGGCAGGAGGCAGGAACCAGCTCATGCAGGCAACAATATAGGCAATAACAACTCAGCAGAGACAACAACCAAAAGGCAAAAGCACTACCAGCAGGCAGCAGCTCATAACAAGTTCAAGCAACTTCAAAATTATAGCTTTTGTTTTTTAAAATTGCTCTCAGATTTACATCACCGAGCAATGGTTATTTTAACAAAAACTTAAGAAATGCTGCCAGCAAGTCTGAAAATAAATGACAAGGGCAACGATTTTAAAAGTCTAGAAAAATGCTGCCAGCAAGTCTGAAAATAAATGACAAGGGCAACGATTTTTCAAGATAAAATAAACCACAATGAGACACAAATACCAGTTATGCAGATGAAGCACTTTCGGCTTTAATCTCTTTACCAATAAGGAGGACGTCTTCCTCAACATCCGCTTGATAACAGAATTTCATTTGCACTAGTCAATGTTTCAAAATTCAGAATTATACAACAAACGTGATTACTCATTTTAGGCACAAATCTACCATTTTCCCGTAAAAAACAAAAATACAATCAACAACAGATTTTACTCATTTTAGGCATATTTCGACTATATTCAAGCAAGAACAACAACAATAATCAAATTATTCAAATACAAAAACAGAAAAACTGTATTAAAAAAAAAACGAAAAGGAAAAAGTAATTACCTTTGACGGCTTGAAGGAGATTTGAAGATGGAGAACTTACCTGAACTGGAGATCAAAAGAAAAAATCAAGAATTTATCAGAACTTGAAATTAAAAAAAAACCGAAACGAAAACGAAAAAAACGAATAAATTAACAAAAAAATTACCTTAGGGTTTGACGGCTTGAAGGAGAGGAAGATTTGAAATCAGAAATCAGAACTTAGATCCAAAACAAAAATGAAACGAAAACAAAAACCCTAAATAAACAAACCGAAACAAAAACGAAAAAAATCAAAACGAAAACAACAAAAATTAACAAAAAAACGAGAATGTAAAGCGAGAAATCAGAAATATAGATCCAAAACACAAATGAAACGAAAACAAAAACCCTATATTAACAAACCGGAACAAAAACGAAAAAAATCAAAACGAAAACAACAAAAATTAACAAAAAAACGAGAATGTAAAGCTAGAAATCAGAAATGTAGATCTAAAACACAAATGAAACGAAATTGAGCTTGAGAATTTCAGAACGAAAGAGTGAGAAACTGAGAAGTTAGAGAGAGAAACTATGACAGAGAGAGAAACGGCTGAATGAGTGAATGAGAATGGCAGAGAGAGTGAGAGTGAGAAATGG